CGTCAGACACAGACGTAGTGCAGCCGGGGCCATCTGTTCGCACCCGCCAGAGGCCTCAAGTAGACCCCCCCCTGGCCGACTCTGGGGTGATATGTGGAAACATATTCTCGTGAATATTGCAAGAAGAAACACCCTTCTAGGCAGTGCCGTGTGTGCGCAGAGCACAAGAAGAAGAGTAGAACTGCCTACATGTGCAACTTCTGCGTAATGCCTCTTCACAAAGGGGAATGTTTGCACAGATATCACACGCGCAAGCACTTCTAGGAGCTCTGGTAAGTGTTCTCCAAAAATTTCAGTTCATAAAATTAATTAGGAGATTTTATATTAATTTTTAAAGTGAACAGCGCACAAGTTAGGGTAGTAGGTTTAAAAACGCGGGTCCCCAGGGTGATTTAAATGTTTAAACCACCGGTCCGAAATGTGTTAACATTCCGAATGATGCCCTGATCCATTGGTTGAGAAACACTAGTGGTGTTTGGAGGGAACCAAGCAAGTCGCACGTTGGAAAGTTCTATATGGGGGTGGCATGTTGCGTTATCCAAGAACAACAAAACATGCCGGTTTTGCATTTTCATTCTACCATTGAAGGCCCCAAAGTCAAGGAACCTGAAAATATTTCCATTTAAGACAGATTTCCGTTTAATAAAGGGTCCGTTTAAGGCAGGTTTTACTGTATATACGTTGTTAAGGAGTGTGAATCATCTTCATCTTTTCTTTTATGCGGAATGAACCAACCTGGAATGCAAATTCGATTTGCAGAAAACAAAAAAAAAATCGAAATAATTAGTTTATTATTTATGATACATATCTATTTCTTTTTTACTAGAAAGCTGTTTAGAGACATTTGTTTTTGCCGGCGCTTCAAAATTTGGTGAAAATGTGACACAGCATTATCATCAAATAAATTTGTAGCACGCATAGCCACTGCTTTATTAGGGTGATGCTTCTCAGTGTACGATGCAACAGTTTCCCATGCTTTCAGCATTTCTCTTATTGCACCAGAAGATTGTTGCTTTGCTGTTACCACCTCCTCCTCCTCCTCCTCCTCTGACAAGCTCTCATCCACAACTTCTTGCTGTGAAACAAATGCAACTCCAAATTGTGCAAATCGTTGATGTAGACTGATTGTATGTGCGTGGTAGATCAGCCACGCTCACACCTCATTCTAGCTTTTCAATGATTTTACGTTTCATTTCTACGGTTATTTTTA